TCTGACTCACTGTTCAAAATGTTGATCCTTGTCACTGACGATAGCACAGTTGGTGAGCGACAATTCGTCTGACGGGCATCGAGCCGTTTGCATAACCTGAACAGAGAAAAAAAAAATGTGACTTTGCAAAAGACAAAAAATACAAATAAAAGCATTTCTCAAGTTATGTCTTTACATCACTTGTGTTGGTTTTGTGTAGAAAAACCTCAGGGTAAAAGGTTTGGTCGGCCTATGGTCATACATGACACAAAAAAGAATCAGATCATCACACTTGGCCAGAATAATTGTAAATTAATTAATTTAATTTTGCAACTTAGCTAAAACTGTTAGCACATTACCTCACTTCTTCTACCAGTTAAAGGTAAATTTGTCAGGTGGGAAGTGCATCATGGGGAAAGTGACATGATAATTTGTATTATTTCCTTCCTTTTTGGATTTACCCAGCTGAATTTAACAGCATAGAAGCACACGTGTGCTGTCATGGCTGAACCAAGAAGCCTTTTATTGCTAGTATTAATGAAGTGTGCCTTCAAATTTTGGTTTAGTGCACCCTAATCTTTAAAAAGGTTTAAAACTAGCAGTCCAATGCACCACGGGCCTGTACAATCTTTTTTTTCTGTGCTGGTAGGTTTTTTCCTGTCAGTTGCACTATGCAAAGCAATGATGTCAAAGCCACAGCAGAACATTAACTTTCTGCACACCTGAGTCACATGCATGCATGCTTTTTTTTACTACTCTCTTTGCGTAGCCTAGTCAACTCTTACACTGGCCTTGAAGAATCATTTTGTACTGTAATTGCACACTAGGTTTTCAGCTCAGTGATCTTTATGACTCCACATCAGGCTGTTGTGTAAAAAAATAATTATGAAACTATGAAAACAGAAAATGTCTCAAGGCAAATTCATACAAAAGTCTTTATACTGACACACACAGGCTGCGTAGCAAAAAAAACATTACCAAACCAAATTGCTGTAGAAACAAAATCTTGAAAATTACAAGAAAACTCCCATCTCATTACATCCTTCTTAGAAAGCGACCAAGATTTAACCTGCTTTCATCACAAATATCCAAAAAGATGATTAAGTGCTGACCTAGATCTAAAAACGTTAATCTTGGCCTACTTTGAGCATTTCAGGAAGTAGGCTTGCTTGTGCCTTTTAGCTCTCCTGATAATCTCAGATTGTCAGTCTATCCGAGGTCAAAAGTATTAAGAATTGTTATTTTTTTGGCGAGTTGTTGGTGATAATAAGAACTGTTTTAGGTTTGTTCATTGAAAAAGGGAAAACAATAGCAGGAAGGTGTCTTGGCCCATGTTCAGTGGGCCGCCTCCCCTTCCTCTCTGAACAAAAAGAGTACCAAAGTACCATAAAAAGCCTAAAAAAGCCTCTGAAACTGAAGAAGTCACCTGGATGAATCATGAAATGTTTCTCCCATTGAAAACACTACGTCCAGGTGAACAGACTCAATTTTATTGTACAGCAGAAAGGTGACATGGCATGTAAAACCATACTTGACTCACATTTGCAACTACACTCAGTATCTATTATAAGATTTAGCCCAAGAGGCCTCTGTTTTTCTCAGCAATAAGTTTGATGACAAAACAGCAGTGAAGCTTACTGTCAATATGGGTGTAGTTAACAACTTAGCTCCACACAGCAAACAGTGACCGCGATGTTGAACTGGGGGAATGAAAGAACATGTTTTTCTAGAGTCCACAGCAGCCCTCACTTCTGTTATCAACATTAAAGATGTTTACTGGGAAAAATCTGATAAAAGTCCTTTAGCAAACCATCTGTTTAACGAGCTTAAACAAGAAGATAATTGATCTTTCCTCTTACTCTCATCCAGCGGCACTTTGTTTTACACAGCTACAGCAAAACTGACTAAAAACGAAGGCTGTGTGTACGCAGACAAAATGCACGTTTACATGTTGCACTGGCTGAGAACAGCCCATTCTTTCTCTTTTTGACAGTAACACCTGTACTATGCCGAGGTGAATCTAAACGACGATCACTACATTAATTTTAAAGCTATGGATACTAATATTATACGCATGAATTATGCTATAGTATTAACTGTATTAAATACAACTTTAATAGAAAAAGCTACTTGACTATAATGTATCAGATTCTCTCACGTCTTGACAGAGATGCCTTCAAATAGACTATACTTTATTAAGATAGCCTAGTAGTTCTTTTCCAGTATTACTGATCAAAGCATTTAGAATACACACACATTAATGCAGTACTTTTAATGCTAAACTATTGTATAGAGTTTTTTCTCTTACAATGCTGATATGTCTGCAGCAGCAGGGTTGCTATTAAAGGTGCATCTTATTTTGCAAAATCAGCGGCTGTGCTGTTAACGCCTCCCCTTACAAATACACTTGTAGCAAGATTGGGAAATCCTGGGTTAACTTAATGAGATGATGACCAGCTTCATGTGACTGCTTAGTCTGATTGATATGTCAGTTGGTGAATCCACACAAAGGAAACATACCCTGGATATACTAACCTTACTTTCAATTACAGGCCCCAGTACCTAAGCAAATATATTACTGCATATAACAAAAATGCTGCTGAAATGTGTTTGTTTCATGTGTGTGAATTAATATATAGGATGATATATTAGAATATCACACTTTTAAAATCACCAAATACCCTATATCTCTGAAAAGCCCTATACCCAGTGACATAGGGCTTTTCAGGCTTAATTACTGGTTAATTGAAAGTAGCTAAAGTATTAGTAAAAATGCAATTTTTAACACTAAGTTAAAAGTAAGTTTGGGCTTACAGTAAACGTTTCTCTTTATGTGCCTTTCTTGTTCCCTTTTACCCATTAAACACCGCAACACTTCCTTCATTTCACTTCAGAGACACATCCAACCCTGAACAGCAGGTTTTTTATATCGAGGCTAAAAACACAGCTAAACAGCCCAAATATGGCAAATGTTACTTATAATAATTCACAGGTGGGAAACAAAAACAGCTGCATGAATGCTGAGTTTCACACTGGTCATAAGATACTCCATTTGTCTTCCGGGCTGCCTACGAAGTTATGAATGACAACTGAATCTGCCACACAGCTAGTGCTGTGCTGGCTCACTGTCCGAGTACAAACCCCCCTGCAGTCCTCTAAGTGTATTTCCGGCTTATTCTTCAATATTTTCCGCTCCAAGTGTACTTCTGAGTCTGAGCTTCAAATAAACTCACCCGTGTAGACATCACTGTGGGCTGTTTTTGTTTTTTATCCTACTTCTGGTAAAACTCTGCATCAAGCTTCCGCTGACAGAGGTAAACGCACAGACTGACGTCGAAGGAGGCGGGATTTCAACACGTACTGCAACGTCATCACGCAAGCGACGGGAAGCTTGTTTCGGAAATCCTTAGACACCCATAAAACTGATCTTCTCCCAGGTTGGATTGCTCCAAGGTGACAAAAAAAAGGCTGTGTCAGATAATAGATAAAACAAAATCTTTTCTATATGGGGAAAAATGATCCACAATAACATTAGGCTGGGTTTAGACTTAGTTTTAGATTACAGTCTTCAGTTTTTATTATGCCTGTGTTTTCCTTTCATATTAGAAACCCTCAGAAATTTCAAACTGGGATGTTATTTAGGGATATCAAAAGTTATGTAGCCCTTGGACCAGGCTTATCTGGTCCTAAGTCCAGCTATAATAAAACAATGGCGTTGAAGAAATAAATGTTTTAGGAAATCAGATATTAAAATGTCAATTTGTGGATTATACAACATTGTAATTTGCAATATATAGGTGAAAACACATATTAAACATATAGGCATTATTATCATTGGGAAAAAGAATTATGGGAGAAAAGAACAAATAAACAAAAAAATGTGGCTAAAATGTGAATGTGCTTAGTCAGATGGATTGTGGATTCTGTGAAGAAGATAATGTGTGAAACTTTTTTGTTTTGTTTTCTCAAAATAGTTTCTGTAGATGAAGAACTCAGTGCAGTAGAGCAATGTTCGGATGTGGTGGAGGGGAGAGATTTACATCACGGACGTGCAGCCAACAAATCTGCAGGAAGTGTTGATATGATGCGGTAATGTCAGTATTGACCAAAATATCTGAGGATTGTTTCCAGCAGCTTGTTCCATCTGTGCTACTTAGCAATAAGGCTGTTTTAAAGGGAAAATGCATATGTAAGTGTCCAGTGAGTGTATGATCTGTCTGCTCTGGGAATCACATCGTTTCCACATGAAAAACTTCTAATAAAGAACTACTATAAATGTGCAATTTGATAACCACGTCTTGTTCTATGAGTTATAAAAACTTAAATATAACTGCCTTCAAATCACGTGGACAGCAGAAAACTATTTATGAAAACATAAGCTGGAAAACAAGATGCTTAAATTTCAAAGGCAAATGGAAATCTTTATTTCAGATGTGGAAAATCTGTAAAAAAAAAAAAAAATCTGTAGAAATGCTGCGAGGGGATCCAAAGTTTCTCATAATGATGCAGTATTTGATCTGGAACTCTTAATTATCATGACAGCTACAGTAACGACTTGTGCTTCTTGTTTTTTGAGGAAAGAAATAAATCTTGCTTAGAATCATAGAAAAGGTTAATTCAATGTGATAAAACAAATTACCTTTAGTGGGGAAAAAAAAGCAAAATGAAAATCAAAGCCATTAGAAAAAATGGATTTAATGCCCTTTGATGTAAAGTTGTTACTGACAGAGCAGCACACAAAAGTGTAGTCTTGTTCTTAGGGTGTTAACATCTCCATTTTGGGAGTAATTTTAATTTTTTTAAATGTAAACACCTCTTCTTTTAAAAAAAAAAAAAAAGACATTTGCTATTGTATACATCATCTGGGATACTCTACCATCATTAAATGCATGTCAGAGAATTTTGCAACATGAAACACCAGCCTACTAACCACCTCATGCAGCTTAGTGGTTAACAAACTAGCTCCATTGGCCCAAATTATCAACTTTTTTTTCTTTTTTGCAAGAGACAAGACAAAATCCTTAAAATACAAAATATTTATTTTCGAAAATGTCTTTATAAGAGAAAAACAAAACGAGAAAAGAAAAAAAAAATCAAAAACCAAATCAAAACCATACAAATTGTTTGGTTGCTAGCATACCACACTAGTGCTAGGAACTAACAATGGAGAACTGTTCACCCGGGTTAACTCACAGACGCTCAGAGGCGATGATCTCCACCTCTACCCTGCGATCTCATTGCATCCAAACACTGAGGCAAACAGAAGCGCCGAAAACATGGCACTAGTGGTGAAATGGCATCCTGTCTGTTCTAGAAACTTATAATAGCAGGAGGGGCAGACGTGGCAACCATCTGATTTCCTTTTTAAAAAAAAAAAAAAAAAAAAAAAAAAAAAAAGAAACACAAAAACCAAAAACAAAGAAAGTGTTTAATACATATCTGAAATACAGAGGGGACTAACTGTTGGCATTGATATGGCGAGGAGGAGGAGGGAAAAAAAAAAAAAAAAAAAAAAGAGCTAGAGGGAGCTCTTGGGCTAAAAATCAGCACTCCAAGGAGCATCCCAACCTTCCAAAAACTGAACAGTGTGCTTCTGAAAGATATGGAGGAGGAAGAGAAAGCCTCGCAGAGCCCGAGGCCACAGAGGTCAAAGTTGCACCTTTGAGGTTGCAGTGGAGTCAGCTTTAAGGCTTGGCAGGCCGAACCTTACAGCAGATATAAACATATATATATTCTTAAACCTTTCCATCTTTTTTTATTGTGGTTGTACAATATTCCCTGATGGCCTGATATGGCCGCTGAGTGTTATACAGAATCCTGAAGAGATATCAAAATTAAAAAGAATAAAAAGAAAAGGGAAAAAAAAAAAAGTGATGAAATTGTCCGTGGAGGAGGGGTAGAGAGGGGGGAGGGTTTGATGGTGGGGGATCCTGTTTTGTTGCAGTTTGTGGGACTTCCTGTTGCTCTCCCTTGTCCCCTCTGAAAATGTTGCACACGCTGGTCAAACACACAGTTTCTCCATCTCACTGCTGCAGTGATCTGCTCTGAGGGGGTTTAAAAAAGAAGAAGAAAAATAGATTTAGACGAGAGAAAGAAGACTGCACATATAACCGAATCCTTTCATTTTACTCACCTATGTCAGCTTCTTGGCTTTGTTGTAAAGCGAATCCACGACTTTGCTCATGTTCTGAATTGTTTCCAAAGCTGCTTCGTATGTTTTGTCCACTGGGGGTTCTTCAAATATGATCAAAACACCTTCACCTTGGTCGAGGATTCCTAAGGCGGCGTGCAAAAAAAACAGTATTACAGCAGACTGCCGAGTATAGCTTTGCAAAATACTTTTTTTTAATACAACAACACAATTACCGTGAAACTTTTTGTCCAGAATCATTTGTGATAATTTCCTCTCAACATCGCCCTAAAGAGATAAAGATGAGGAATTAAAAATGAGCTGAGATAGACAAGACTGAATGTTAGCTTAAAAAATTTTAAATAAATAATAAATCCAAAATGCAGCAACACTTACCTTAGATAGTTTGATTAGACCTGATATGTGTTCTATCTGAAAACCGAAGGACACAAATTAAATACAGATCTTAATTATACATTTTTCAGTTGTAATGATGAAGAACAAACAATAACATCAGTCTGTACTAGTATTAAGTAATAGACCTGTTGCAGTCACGCAGACTTCAGCTTCTATTGTTTGATAGAAATACGCAGTATAAACTGTATGATTAGCACAAGAGTTAAATCAAATAGAAAGGCTTTTAATGTAGCTGCCTCATCATGCTAATAGTCCACAGTGTGTCCGTGTGCCATTTCTGGATATTGCAGGGTTTCTCCAGGATCACTCAAACTGATATACCTTTGGGAAATAAGGTGATGCATCTAAAATATATTCACGCAGTTATGCAGTGACTCTAGAGAGAAAGATGCCAGTATCTCCCAAAGTTTTCACCAAAATGAAAGTGTAATAAACCAAACAGCAGGGGAGGGGGAAGCATTATTGCTTATAAAATCAAGCTTTCAGGCCAAGAGATGGTATCGCATTAACTCAGAAAAGCAGAGGGGGGCTTATATGGCTGCCAGGGCAACAAAGTCTGCTAGCGGCTGTATTTACAACGATCCCCCATGTTATGAGATGTTTTTTCTTCAAAGACACAAATACAACTTTACTTTTCAGCAAATGTAAAGTTTTAGGACTGATTGGTAAAAGTTTTCACATTTTGTATTACAGTGGTGGGTTTCCTATATACACCTGAGCCTTGCATGTTCTCACCTGCACTCTGGAAAATGGTTCAATGACTCGGATGAGGTTTTGTTCCAGCAGGTTGTCGTACAGCTTGGCCAGGTGAGTGTTGATGATTGGGTCGTCCCGCAGCTCTGCTCTGTACTCTGTGAGGGCCTGGAACATGCCAAACTCTGACTTAGGAAAACTTTAAATTGTCAAATAACAAGGAGGCAGCTTACGACACAAAACGTCAAGGTTTTAATCCTTCAAAATGAAAATCGAGGACCTAATGTTAACTTCTGAGTGTGTCACCTCACCCTCAGCTGACAAATGTGAGGCCAAAGAGACCATAATGACAAAATGTGTGTTTCTTTATCTTTATCTAAAGCCACCGGGCAAAATTTGACAATGCTAAAGGCATTCTTACCTTTTCAAAATCTGCTAATGATCTGTTCTTGCTGGCCTGGGCTACACATTTCAATGCTTCTGTCTACAAACAGAAAGATGAGAAAAAAATATTAGTAATGTTTTTATCAAGAAAAAAAACATTAATGAAGCACCCACACAAAACTAAGAAATATCTGGTAGTTACAGTGAAGGTCATTTTCTTCTGAAACACACCAACACATTTATTTAAATTCAAATATCATCAAAGATTTGAGTAAAATTCTGCAGCACTCGCACAAAAACTGTGTGCTTCACTTAAATAACACGTTTATTACACCTTTGCACACTAAAGCTGCTGCTTTGTGAATAATCCACAACTGATATTTCTATTTTATTTAGTTCAAAAGGTGGTTTGCAGCATTTGTGATTCTTTCCGTGTTTGGATAAAAATCCAATGACAGCTTGTACTTGCCTGTCTGCCTGCGTATCTGAGGGCCAGTTTACCGCTGATCAGGGCTTGTACCTCCTCTGGCCTGAAAGAGTCAAGTAATAAATACATTCATTAGACATTTAAAGAGTGTTTAGTACCACGTATTACTGTAAAACAGTATAAGTACTACTTACGAGTTGAGTACAATTTTGCACAGGAGCATGTATTTGAGTGCTGTGATGGCTCTGGGGCTGTCGATTGAGTCGTAACCCTCGAAGGCCTCAAAGAAGTAGGAGTAGGCTGTCTTCCAGTCTTTCTCCTCTGCTGCATGGATGATCCCTGCACCAGAGATGACACAGCATGACAGTTACCATTTCAGGCAAAAACAAAAACCCACAACAGTGAAGTATGTGATGCTTCAACAAAAACTCGGAGCGCCGAGGCTGCCATATGACTGCATGACTCCAAAGAGTATTAAAACCACCATGTGCTGAGCTTCTCTGGGCGTTGCCCGACATGGACAACTTAATCATAACGCTGGAAAGTACAAAAGAAATGATCATGTTGTGTCATATTTTCAGGTCAAATTGTGTTATGCAGCTAAGTCTAAGAATTTAGTCAGCCATCCTGTAATCAGGAATTTAGCAGTTTGATCCCAAGCACCTCAAAGTCTGTATTTTGCCGTGTAGACAAAACACTGAAAGTCAAAAACATCCCAGATGTGTCATGAGTATGTATGCAATCGTAAAAGAGCTGCCTGAATGCAGCTTTTGGTGCAAACTGCTTTAAACTGTTTATAAGACTAGAAAAGCTCTACTGTATTCATCCACTCCGCCATTTATATCCATGAATAAATATGATAAGATCATGCCTCCAAGCTCTTCTGGCTTCAACATCAGAAACTGTGTGGTTTTCACATACTCATAACCGTTAGAGGCACTGGAGATCAAATCTAAATTTGTCATGCACCTGTCGAGAAAAGACCTGCTTTATGTTATTAAAACACAAAATAATTATTAATAAGGGTAAAAATTCTTGATGGTGCAGCACTGTCTACATCAACATTTTATTACTCTAAACCACCATAACTTCATTCAACTTAAGAATAGAAAAATGTGCCTTTTTTGTAAATAAAGCTGAAACTAAGAAAAAGGAAAAAGGGCCAGAAAATTACCATTTACTATGAGATCCTATCAAACAATATTAAACTGTAGAAAAGGGCATCTCGTCAAAGATTTATGGCATGCCTGGCACCTGCTCAATGACTGAACCAAAAGAGGACAACATGGTAGACATCAGGCACTAATTTTCCACATATCCAACTTTTGCAATCGAATGACATAAAAGATTCTATCAATGACAAAGTCTGAATTTTTGCATGGTAGTGTTGCAGGAAAGGATGGCTTAAAAAGCCAGAAAACTGTGCCGATCTCACATCGTCATAGCATCTGCTGACATCAGTCCTTTCCCCTCCTCTGAACAACTAAGTTGTTCATTTTACTGTAAAAATGTGAAACTAACCCTTGCAACATTTTTCAAGCATCATCAGTGTTAAATCTGACACCTCTTTTTTCACTAGTTATTCAGAGGGACTGTTTAGGCTGATTGTTACTTTTTCTTAATCAGTATCGGATCATTGCGCTTCTACTGAGCAGAGCATGGATGATGTACCTTCAGGCAGAGGTATAATATTATGTAGTCTGTTCAGTTACCTTCTACAATGGATGAGCACACCATTCATTAGCTGTTATATCCATCTGCCTTATTAACCGTTTCAGCCCCATGCAAGAAATATTCAGCAGTAATCAGCTGGTCAACTGTGAACCTGGCCTTTAACAATCCCGCATCTTTATGAATAAAAAAATGAAGGAAAAAAAATAGTCTCCCATTTTTTGATAATTCGCCCAGACAGAAAGTTATTCCAGGTAAGACTTTGGTAACTCTTACCTGACTGCATGTCCAGAGCTGCCTGGAGCTTTGGAGGACAGTAAATGGCGTTGGCGGTGGTTCTGGCTGAAGTGAGGGCTGCGCGGGCCTTGGGCAGGTTACTGAGGGCGTGGTATGTCTTACTTTCAAGCAGCTGCACCTCAACCAGAAGAGCTTTGTCATCCATCTTTTTCAGCTCCTGGAGCAGCTGGGAGCCTGAGGGTAAGAGGGCAAATCTGGGTTAATATTGTGTACGCCAGCTTCTGCAATAACTTTGATCAAAATTATGCAATTGCCTGGGGATGAATGCACAATTATAGTGCTGATATGTGCTGCTCAATTTCCTCCCATAACCCCCTATTTATGAAGTATTTTAGTCAAGCATTAACTTTTTAAATTTAGCACTAGAAGAATGAAAGATTTCTTGCCAAATATCTTGGTGGTAGAAAACAGACATTGCTATTCACCCAAAACATAAAAATGTTAAAAAGGATCTCTAAACACTCACCGAGAGCCAAGGCCTCCTGGTATCTTTTGGTGTCAAAATAGAGCGAGATCAGTCGTGCCTGAAAGAACAAGAAGCTGTTAGATGAGCAGAGAACAGCAGCAACAGCTGTGACATGGAAGCAGTCATAAGAAACAACTAATGACAGAATCGTACCCTTTATTAATTCCATCAGAGTAATCTTAACTTCTACAGCATTTTGATGATGAAAACATCTGGTTGTAACTGGTATCAAACTGTTTCTTGCAGGTATCATATCGAGCTCCGCACTGAGCATCAAGAAATCACACCGTGAGCATTTTATTAGCTTTCCAATAATTGCTGTAAATTACAACTACAACTGTCATCCTCTTCAGGCAAAGGTAAAGAATTCTTAGGTTTCCTGTTTTCATCCAGGTTCATCTCAGAGTCACAGTGGTGGTGTTGCACAACCAATCGCTCCATCATTATCTGTCTGAAATCACAGCGTCTCCCACTCCATGAGTCAGAACGCATTAAATCTGATCTCTCCCACAGCTGCTATTTATGTTTGGGATATCATATTTCTTTGTTTTCACTATCATTACTCATAAACTGTGTTCCATGTCAGCACTAAGTGAGGTCAGGTGGGAGGACAGATATATCAGCTAGCAATAACTTCATTTATGACAAATCCAATAACCATCTTTATACTCCTCTTCTATCAGAATGGCACAGTTCATGTACTGCAATTTGTTGCTTTTACTACTCTGGAGGTCTTTACTATCAAACTTCCAAAATACAAAACATCCCCCCACTTAATCCAGTTATCTTTCCCCTTCCTTTTATAAAGTAGAAAGGCCACATCTGGTGTAAAAGTGATAGAGTTCAGGAAAAAAACAGTGCTACGAAAAAAACTTCGTAGCACTGTTTTAACATGTATGGGCTTACACATTTTAGGGTTTTTACAAGCCTATGCTAGACATCTTTTTACCTCCAGAGCTTGTCGTAGGAAGGTCCTCTTCTCAGCCTTGGCCCATTCAATGCATTCAAGACACAGCTCCACCTCCTGCCCCGTTGCTGCTTCCATGTCAAGGAATAGATCTAACAGAGAGCGGACGAGCCGAGCCGCCTTGGCCTTACTGATGGACATCAGGAAAGGCCTCACAAATTTCAGGAGTCCACCAAGTTCTGTGGACAAAAACAAAAAAAACTTATTCAAAACTTTAAGAGCAAAAACATATATATGACAACATCTCTTAGTCTGAGCAGCGCCCTGCAACAGGTTTAGGGAAAACTTATTTTGTTAACCCTGAAATGGGGAAAACTGAGTTTTTTGTTGCAAAAAGACGTATAACCTAAACAGATTGTGAACCTAACTTGCTCACTGGCAGGTTTTCTCTCTGATTGGCACCTCTTCTCTCTGATTGGCACCTCCTGCTGCACCTAAAGCAGCTATAAGAGCTCTTATCAGATCAGCACAAGTTCACACTACAAATGCTGAAATCTCAGTGAGATATTCTTACTAGATGTAACCATTATCTGTATGGTTTATATTTTTATATTCAGTTGATGTAACTTGAATTTCACCCCTGTCAGATGAGCTTTTCTGGAAGCTTAACTTTTCTCATGTTAGAGTAAATCAATTCCGACTTTAAGTCTAGACTCAGAGTTTACTGAAACTGTTTTCTGGAACAGGACCCAGGTTTTAGCCAAACATAAAATGTACACAGAATGTCTTTGAACATTACCTGCAGCTTGTCCCGTTTTTGCCAGCAGTGTGCCCAGCTCCAAGATGCTTTGTTCTTTAACTCTAACCGCTTCCTCATCGTTCTCTTGAACATCTCTTCTCACTGATGAACATAACAAGTTCACATGAGAAAAAAATATTAAAATATAACTATGAGGCAAGTAAATTTACAAACATGCATAGTGATCCACACTTTATTATAACAATACACAGTCCCATCTTGTGATTTGTCATGTGACATAAACAGTTTAACCAAAAATATTTAAATAAATAAAATTACATTTTCTTGGTTCTATAAAATCCTCAATAACCAAATCTTTTGAAATACTTTTGAAATGCCAAAGCTGTGCAGGACAAAACTGAGATATCTTAGTCCCATAACCATCTCCAAAATCCAACTAATTTAATAAAGAAAACAATCCTGAAGGAAACAGTCAATTTGTGGCTTAATAACTAAGAAATGATTTTGCCCCTTTGAGCAGTTTCAGGGGAATTGAGCATTTAATAATGTCAGCACTGATACTAGAGATATACAGGTGGAAAGAACATAAGTTCCTTAGAGGTAAACAAGAGAAAATGACATCTTGCCAGCTAGTAGGGCTGGTGTGACAAGGCAGATTGGGGACAGCTACGTCTGTTGTGGGAAATGTAAGAACTCTTTACCACTACTCGTGTGTTTACACCATCATTTAGTTATTTATAGAGGTCCAGCTGATTATGAAACAGGTTATAGGTCCTCTCGCTTTATAAGGTAGCTGCTTTTCACTGTGTTGTTGAGAGGCTTTTGATAACAGGCTAATGATGTTAGCCTCAACAGTAACTATGCTAACATGACAGTCTTTAGTTGGGTCAATGACAACTGTGCTCAGTGTCACAGCTCCAACACACACACAGTGGAACTCATGCACAATTCTGACAACCACCAACAGACACATTCCATGGCTAGGCCTAGAGTTAGCAACGGTGCTAACGAGCTAACATCCACCAGCTAGCAATTCCCGTTAGCCACCGTTCTACAGTGAGTCAGCACGGCACACCACCGGCTCCAGCTATTCAAAGCCACTAGCTACATGCTAACCCCGCCGCCTCACACTAACTGTAAAATCATTCATTACAGCAGTGAATGGGATGATATTCACCTCAAAACACCAGCCTAAGACTCACCTATTGAATGTAGGATGTCGATAGAGGCGTTGCGATCCGTGCTAATGAGAGACTGAGCTCTCTGAAACTCAACCACCGCTGCAGCCGCCATCTTCCTTATTCAAATGCTGCCTGAATGAAAAATACGTGCGGGGACTACGTTACCAAACGCCTGTGACGCCACTGTACATCTTGCATGTCGGGATTGAAAGGAATAATGGGAAATGTAGTCATCAAATTCCTTTGTTGCAGTATTAAAAACATAAATAGAAACTAGTTCTTATTTCTGCCCATGACAATTTTCTCCCCACAATAACTGAGAATCTTGGATCCATTTCGTCTTCACTTCTACCAGCTGTGAGAAATTAATGTTAATTTTGATGGCGTATTCAGTTTTTTTTTAAACCTTGACTACAGTTTTTAGAAGTCTGTTTATTTTTCTGTTTTATTTTCTATTCAGTTTTAAAGTTCAGTTTAAAAGGAGATCCCTTTCAGAGAGCTCCGTGGCTAAATGCGGCCCTAAGAACGATCATCCCTAATGATGCGCGCAGGCTGTGCTATTCTGAAATCAGTTTGGGAGACAGAGTCTAAAAACTGATAAAACATTAATGTGGTCTATTTGGTGTGTTTGTTATGGATTAAAATCATGCAATTATATTTTTATTTAGTGCAAAATTACCCCGGCGTAGTATCCAGGTCACAATATCTCTTTAGGTCCCTAAATGTGTGCTGATATTCATTCTGTGCTCTTGCTGAAGCATATTCTATTTGGAAAAACATATACAAATAATGTCATTAAATTTACTGCATATCAATAACTGTTGTCTTCTGTCTCTCATAGTTTTTGTTTTGTTCTTGTCTCTCAATGTTCTCCATGTTCTCCTATCTTTTTCCTCACTCCAAAACCAGCTGTGGCAGACGCTGCCTCTCCCCGAGCCTGGTTCTCCCAGAGCTCTCCCGTTAAAAGGAAGTTCTTCCTTCCCGCTGTTGCCAAATTGTGCTAACAGGGATTCATCATTGTTGGGGTTTGCACTCTAATACTGATCTTTTCATTATCTAGCATTGTAAAGCGCCTTGAGGTGACTCTTGTTGTGTGTTGGTGCTATAGATATAAAACTGAACCAATTTAAGCTGAATTCTATGGATACTAACTCTATTTTTCACAGTACACAAAACCTACTTTCTGATTAAAAGCTTTAGATTACATTGCCTCTTGAGAGTTTTGCATGATATCACCCTCTCTATAAACGTGCTTTATTTGACTCTGACTCTAGGCTTTTTCGTTTCTTTCTCTTTTTTGTTACCTGACCATTTTAATCTTATAAAGGTGTGCATTGGTCACATCTTTCTCGAGAAAGAGATTTTAATCTCAAAGGACTTACTGGTTAAATAAAGGTTAAATAATGCATAAAAGTATAAAATCTACACAATTACTTAAGACTTTATTTATTTCTTATCTTTATGTATTTAAAAAAAGAAACGCTACTTTACCTCGGTTACTTAAATACATAGTTGTATTTATTTGACTCTGACTCTAGGCTTTACAGAACATTGGCTATGCAGATCAAGTGCATGTGTACAAATGGCAAATTAAATATTTTATCCCGACCTTTATCTAAAAAGAAATAAATAAGAATAAATTATTTCAATATATATATTTGTAATAAATAAATACAATACAGTTTGGTTTTTACAGCAAGTTACTGTAAAAATAGCCCTCTGAAATATACAACACGATATGGAGATTAAAATCTGCCAATCAGGCTGTACAATGGACCTATATTCACAACAGGCTTGCAAACCCGGGGCTATGATCACATTACAAGTAGGCGGAGGGGTACTTCCAGATGAGTGCTGTTGCTTTGGTTATGTAGGTGCTATAGGGTGCCACGAGAAAAACATGCTAAGAGTTCATCGGGTTCATTTTTAGCACCTGTGTGTGTGTGTGTGTGTGTGTGTGTGTGTGTGTGTGTGGCTAAAGGCGGAGTGGTTTCCCATCAGAAACAACACCGCGCACAGAGCGCATAGCGGCGCCCCACCACCGCCTTTGCGTCAACCATCCTCACACAGTCAGTGGCACAACACAACATCAGCCCTCGCAGCATCCGCATCTCACGGCCAAGAGGACCAGGAGCAAGCACATCTTCATCCAAGCATCCATTCCACAACTGCCTGCCGTCGTCTGCGCACCGCCGACAGCAGGCGCGTGTTGATGCGCTGCTTGATACACAAATATATATTTTTAAACTCAGCTCGGATTACGTTCTTTGTTGCATTCATATCCTGCGAGATGGTTTCGTGTTTTTATCACGCCTCATAGGGAAGAAGAGACTCGATACGCGGAGCATCACCTCGATATCGCAGTTATTTTCACACTGAGCTGGAGATTTGGTAAGTTTGCTTCGAATCTAGGGGACTGTTTTCTGTTTTTTTGTTTTTGTTTTGAAAGCCAGGCATTTTTTTTTAACTTTTTGTGGATTCATTTTATGTGTAAACAATGCGCAGCGATATCCAATTAAGACAATATGATTATAAATGTAAAGTAAAGGGTTGTGAAGGTGAAGACAGACAATGCATCGACGCATTGTTACACTTTCGGGGACGGGGGAGGTTTAAAAGATGAGGATTTGATTCATTTTTAAAGCCACCGCCTATCACAACCAGCGTTCTCGTTTCGACGCAGACGCTCAGTTTCAGCACCACGGAGAGCAACCGATGCACACGGCGAACAGGCCAATAAATCCTTTCATTTCAATCCAGCGCAGGCACATTCGCCTGATGCTTCGGTATCTCTCTCGCAACAAATAACTGAGCCACGAGGCTGATAATAGCTGATAACAGGGGCGCTGGAATGATGGATCGAACAGCTTGCATCCTGCGCAAGAGAGCGAGGTCGATCCACCGACTGCCTCTCGTGTTCAAAGGTGCTGCAGTGAGCAACGTCCAAATAAAAAAATGCGAACATCCCTTTACGTATTTGTTAGTCTAATTCTAACGGACATCACTGTCGTGACATTGGGGGGTTTTTTTGTTGTTTTTTTTTTTGTTTTTTTACGCTGATCAAACGCGACCTTCACCTGTTATTACGGTGTTTACGTTCCGGTCTTCCATTTTAGCGAGAAGGGTGGCGCGTGCTTCACTCTTACTCGTCGCCACTGACCGTAAAATATAGCTCTTATAAAATATTTACGACACATGATTCTATTTGAATCACACGTGCATTACTCTACATGCTCTATAATCTACTGCACATAAAAATCAGCTAAAGCGCCGTTTTCACACTCAAGCGTTTATAAGGTGATTATTGTGCTGATCATTTGCAGCAGCGGGGGTCTATACCGTTTTATTAATGAGCCTAAGCTATAGGCTGATCCATTCCACCACTTACTGAGTGGGATCAATACTGCTAATAAGCCTGATTGCCGGATAAAGCACTCAGACAAGAGTGCATGAAAACATTGTAAACAGATATTATCTGATGTAAGGTGAATGATGGTTCTGTTATCTGATGAAAAAGAAAAATGTTTGCTTCTATGAAAAAAAAATCACTGATAATCTAAACGGGAGTGATCTTTTACTAATTATGTTTCTGATTATTGATCTTTTCTGCTTCCAGCAGCAGTGGCCATCCTGAGACGCAGACTGGGAGCTGAAATAGAACAGTCAAGGTGGTTCTAATCCCCTCAGAGAGCTCGTTACAGGACAATCCCCTCCAGCGCTTTAGATGCCCAGCAGCAGCCTGTAGCCTGGGACTCTCAGCTCCCAGAAACATCCAGGCTTTGAGACCCTCAGGATCCCCCCCACCCCACCCCTTCCAAACCTCTTCTGAACCAGTGCGGCTAAAGCCCCTGGAAGCCTCCCTGCAGTCACCATGGGAACCGTGCTATCTTTGTCACCTAGCTACAGAAAGTCGGCTCTGTTTGAAGATGGACCAGCCACCGTGGGCCACTACACAGCTGTCCAGAACAGCAAGAACGCCAAAGACAAGAACCTGAAGCGCCACTCGCTCATCAACGTGCTCCCCTGGAAGCGGATCGTAGCGGTGTCAGCAAAGAAGAAAGGCTCCAAGAAGGTGCAGCCCAACGGCACCTACCAGAACAATGTTACCCACCTGAACAACGAGAACCTGAAGAAGTCGCAGTCATGCGCCAACCTGTCCACCTTCACCCAGGATCAGAGCACTCCAGCTCTCACCAAGAACTCCAACACAACGACATCGTCTGTCAAGAAGGCCCCCCTGACAAACTCCAATGTGGCCCCTGGCACCCCTAAGAGAGTGATCGTCCAGGCCTCCACCAGTGAGCTGCTGCGCTGCCTTGGGGACTTTCTGTGCCGACGTTGTTACCGGCTGAAGCACCTGTCACCCACTGACCCAGTGCTGTGGCTGCGAAGTGTTGACCGCTCCCTGCTGCTCCAGGGTTGGCAGGACCAGGGATTCATCACCCCCGCCAATGTGGTCTTTGTCTACATGCTGTGCCGCGATGTGGTCTCCTCTGAAGTGGCCACGGAGCACGAGCTGCAAGCCGTGCTGCTCACCTGCCTCTACCTGTCTTACTCCTACATGGGCAATGAAATCTCTTACCCGCTCAAGCCTTTCTTGGTTGAGAGCTCCAAGGAGACCTTCTGGGACCGCTGCCTGTCCATTATCAACCTGATGAGCGCCAAGATGCTGCAGATCAACTCTGACCCGCACTACTTCACTCAAGTGTTCGCCGACCTGAAGAACGAGAGCCAGAAGGAGGAGGAGAGGAGCCGCCTGCTCATCGGCCTGGACCGGTGAGGGGATGCTTGGGGGTGGGGTAGGGGCGGGGGAGCGAAGAGCTTTGGGGAGGTGGGGGCAACCTCCAGTCTGGGATTTAGAATATTTGTGATGCTTTTTATTTATAATCGTCCAAACTGCTGAGAAACTAGACTGATTCAGAAGTGTTTGACATTCACACCAACTTTGCATCTAGCAGGACTGATTGATGGAAGGAGGGGGGTCGGGGGATTGATATGGGTCATGTTTATCTCATATGTGTGTGTTTGAGGTCACAAAGGTCACCAAAAAATGGGGCTTAGGGTTTTAAAAAAAACTATTTCCAAACCAGCAAAGGATGGATTATGAATACACCCAAGAATGAAAGCTTGTTCTTCTTTTTTTCACAGTTATATGTAAACAAAGAAATGCCAGACTTGGGTAAATCCTTTGCTAACATGCAGATATGTTATATCTATATAAAATACTGAAAAAATTTTTAAAAAAAGGAAAAAAGTTGTTTTGAAAAGGAA